TTCCCATGTTGGTTCGCGAGCAAACATCATCAACACCAATTACCTTAGATACACCATCATTACCATCTTTAACACTCCAAAATCACCAGAAGTATAAGATGTGAAGAAATCCTTCCTTGGTGTAACATGCAATGTAGCACCATTGTTAACTATCCAAATGCTCTCGTACGATACAAGATTAACAGACTCATGATGACAGAGAATAACAAGATCATCACTAGTAGGAGTAGTAACACGATCATCATCATGATCTTCATGGTCTCTTTGTTTAGACTTACCCTTCTTGCCTTTGTTATCTCTTTTCCACTAATAGAAATACCTTTGTACGTGTCCTGTTTTGTGACAATAATGACACTCCAGATTCTTGTATCGCGGCTTGGACTTGCTTTTTCTATTCTCACTACCACCCTTTGTTTCCTTTTTATGACTTCTCTCTCTATTTTTAGTGACAAGTACCTCGAGTTGAGATGAAGAACCATGCGTTTTCCTTCTCATTTTCTCATTAAGAATACCACCCTTAGTCGTTTTCAAAGAAACAACACCTCTAAAAGTAGAACTTATGATAGAAACCCAAAATGTCTCCCAAGACTCTGGTAAAGATAGTAATAGAAATATTCGCAGAAGTTCATCATCAAATTTGATACTCATTTCTAACATTTAATCAAGGAGGCCTTGAAATTTACTCAAGTGATCTGAAATAGAAGTCCCCTCCGTATACTTCAAACTTATGAAGTTATTCAACAAGAACAATTTATTATTCTCTAATTTAGAGGCATACAAGGACTCTATCTTCTCCCACAAAGTATTTTCATGTGCATCATTAGCAATATGATTATAAATGTTATCTTATACATATTGTCGAATAAAATCACATACTTGTTGATGTTCAAACTCTTATTCTTCATCAGACACAGAATTCGGCTTTGCGGAACTAGAAATTGGCAAATGCAATTTCTTCAAAAATAGTAAGTCTTTCATCTTGCCCTTTCATAAATGATAATTAGAACCATTCAACAATACCATATCCATCTTTGTATTTGACTCCATCATTCAAACAAGTAAATAGCCCTTAACCAAGAGCTCTAATACCACTCTGATGAGAAATTAAGACAGAATAGTAGACCAATACGCAACGGATATAAAACTCCCCAAACTTGTAGGAACCTTGAGGATCAACAACAAATATAAGACGGTAAATCAAACAAATAAAGGTACAAAAGAACACCGATATTTTTAACGTGGAAAACCCCTCAATATGAGAGTAAAAATTATGAGCCGTCCAGACCAACGAAATAATTGTACTATAAGAATCTTAATTAGTGCAATATAAGGGTACAAGAGAGTCTTAAAGTAATTCACAAACTAGTGCAAATAACCGCAAATCACAAAGCAAACTAGCTTACAAATAAGAATCAAAAAGCTGAAAACATTCCAAAATTTGCAGCTTCAGTGTGAAGCAAATAACTTTCACCTCAAACGTTGTATTGAAATTCTGAACGGTCAAAAGTTAGATGTATGTGTTACGAACCTGCCTACCAAATTTGAGCTCGATCCAACGGTTAACGGATCGTCGATTTAGTGAGACTGGTTGCAAAAAAACGGGAATGAGTTTCTCTCTTCTTTTCTCTCTTTTGAATCCTTATTTTTCTCTATCTCTCTCAACCCTAAATTGATCATCTCCACTTAAATAAGTGAGACAAATAGGATAATCATATTTGGATCTTTCTCCACATAGGAAGAGAGCCCAAACCCAACACATTATAGTCGAAAGGTTGAATTTTAGTTCAAATAGAAGAAATACATTTGTGATGATGAGACGTGAAAGAAGTGGCAAACATATAAAACATATCCAAAAGTTGAAACATGATCACACCGGATTGAGAAAATGTGAGTTTCCTTTTAATTTGCATGGGTACCTCAAGGTAAATAATACATGAACATTTAATGTGATTTGTGGAATACATAATCATGATTTGTATCACAAGTTAGCTTATCATTGGATTGTATGTCATCTGAATTCTGAAGAGAGGAAACGTGTCTTTAACATGACATTGAAGATGCTTCAGCCCAAAAATATACTATCCACTTTGAAAAGGAAAAAAAATTGAAAGTATCGCAAATATTAGGCAAGTGTACAATGTTCGCACCCGAAATAATAAGGCGATAAGAGGTCCAATACTTGAAATGCAAGAATTATTGAAGTTTTTGGATGATAATCATTGTATCTAGGTAGAGTGTTTGAGGATGAAAAACTGTTCGAGATTCTATTTTGGACTTATCCTGATTCCATTAAGTTGTTCAACACATTTCTTATTGTGCTCATAATTGATTAAATATATAAGAACAATTATAGGCTACAACTTATAGAAATTGTTGGTGTTACTTCTACATATATGACTTATTCAGTTGACTTTGCATTTTTAGAATGTAAATAACAAGACAATGTTACATGGGTTTTGGAAGTGTGTCGGACTATGTTGAAAAACATGTCAGGTATGATTGTCGCCGGTTGCAATACCGCACTAATGAACTTGATTGTAAAGGTGTTTTATACATCACATGATTTATTGTGTAGGTATCATATAACAAAAAATGTGAGAGGTGAACTTAAGCCTACGTTAGATACCAACAAATCAAGGGCGAAGACGGGAAAATGACCAAACCTAGGGTGACATTGAAAAGCATAATGTATGCCTGAAATGCTATAATAAAGTCTTCTACATAAAAAGTATATGTCGAAACTATCATTATTTCTTAAAATATGTTGAAAGCACAATTCCAGATCAGATAAAGGATAAAATTGTTTGTGTTTAAACCGATCAGCTTAGACACTTTGGAAATACTACAACTAATAGAGTTAAATATATTCATGCCACATTGAATAACTGGTTGGAAAGTAGTACAGAGGATTGTGTACAAGTTGGAAATCAGTGAATAAAATGATTCAAAAACAACATAACAAGACTCAAAGATCATTTGGTCGAAACATCATAGTATTTGAACATAATTCAAAGACAAAATTATTTATCCACAATTGATTGGTAATATATCTCGAGCGGGATTTAATTTTATTTATCATGAATTTAAACGAGTAGAGAAAATATGTTCAGATAGCTCAAAGTATGGTTGTACACTTAGGAGGACGTAAGGTCTTCCGTCTGCTTGTCTAATTTCCAAAAAGATGAAACTTGAAAGGTCCATACGTATGGATGAGGTTTCCACACACTAGAAAATGATTTGGTTTAATGATAATGGTGTGGTGAAGAAAAGTAAATTGAATGTATCTATTATGACAAAATGGAAGGTGATTTCAGAGAGGTATTTGAAAGTTGATGATAACAAGAAATTTCACATCAAAGAGCATCTGAGAAAGATTCTATATCTAAAAACAACATATTTGAAACCACTCGTAGAACAGGTAAAAACAAATGGTACTCTTAAGAAGGTCTAACTAACACTGAGTGACAATTCAACCAATTTGTCTTCATCTTATTTTGAACATTTTGACACACATTTGTCAGACTCTCTTAACATCATTATTCAAATAAAATTCTATCAAAGGTGTTCGCATTAGTAAATCATTTCCTTTTTCACATTTACCACATTCACGACCTTTACCAAAAATAATATACATTGAAGAGATATCAGTTTTTATGCAAAAATGCATTAATCAGATTATAGATGTTAAGAGTGAAGGTAAGTGTGGTTATCATAATGTTTCAGCTTTGTTGGATAATGGAGATGAGAATCATACAATTGCCCGATAACAAGAGTTGAAGGCACATTAGAAATCATACACAATGTTATACATGAAAAAAGAACAATTCGATGAAATTAATGCACCTTTTATTCTTGTGCTAGTAGTCCACCACCAAAGGCAAAATAGATGTGTTCCCCTGAAATAGTTATCTTATAGCAAGTGCATATAATTAGGTGTCTAACGATCTAAAGATGTATGGTTTCTCGAAAACATTATTCCACTCCAAAGTGGCCCACCTTAATATCCAATCTAACACATTGTGCGTATTAGATGGCTTTCAAAATCACCAACATTTTGTTCAAATCTATTTGAAATTAGAGTGTCTTATACCACAAACATTTTTTGCCTGGACATTACATTCAACAAAAGTTGAAATTGATCGAATAACTTTTGGATCAGATGGAAGAATTTATCAAATAGAACAAAATTGAAAGAGAAACAAATCGAAAAAAGTCAAAAACAGAATCTCCCATATATATATACATATTTAGGTGGTGACACATTTTATTTTAATGTATTTTTAGTTTTATCTTACAATGCATTTAATTGGTGACGCATTTTTTATACGTAATACTGGATTGTCATTTTCTACAATGTAATTTGGATACATATTTCGATGTATTTTATTATATATCTATCATTATTTGTATAAAAATTGAACTTAAAATCTTCTGTTAAAAAAACAAATTTTGTTTGCCTTTATGCAAAAAAAAACAACTTTTGTAATGGGTGAATCCAAATTTTAATATAGGAACGAATGTTATTTCATACTTAAAAAGATCAATCTGGAATCCAATATCCGTACAAATCCCTTATTTGTATTTGATTGAATCCAGATTTCAATTTTCAGAATGTCTCCTGAGATGATTACAATTTTCAGAATGTCCCGAGACATGATTACTTTTATATGACTCATGTTGATCTAAAATTTAAATGTTTTAAAATGAAAAAGCCATTATCATATAATGTTCCACATAAAAACACAATTGCTCATAAAATTTGATGTGTCAACCCCAAAAGAAGAAAAGAGATCCAACTATCACAACAATTAACTTATAGTACATGTACATTAATTAACATAAATAACAAAATCTTGTGTTGTCTGATATTCCTGACAAACGCAAGTAAACTAAGAATGCGCATAAATATGCAGTATCTCTCACCCATCATTGGGGACTTGGGGTTTGCTCTACCATTTAGGTCCAAAAGCTTGCAAAAATGAAGTTGGCATATTTACTCATTACGATGCCATTTTATTCTGGATTTGCCTATGAACATGGATAAGAAACTCTACATACGAGAAGCCACCTGCGCTCTTGTCTTCAATCATATACGAGAAGAATAACATTCCTGATGGATGGAAAGTAAGATAAGTTAAGTTGAAAAGAACAGAACAAGGTTTACCTTAACAAGTTTTCTTTCATCAATAATTAATTTTAAGATGTTTGCGCCAATAATTAGAAATCTATCATGTATTAAGCAATGGAGTTTAAGCAATCATTCTAATGCACGTACCTGATGGATCACCTTTCCTGCAGAGCTTAAGCCTGCCAGATTTAATAAATAAATAAATAAATTACACATTGTTTAGTCAGTAAATGACATGGAAGATTACTCAACAGGGTTCAAGATATGATATAATTGTCAAAACAATTAGCTTACCGGAGGTAGCAAAATCTTTGCCGCCGAATCTCATTCACCACTTCATTTAACTTCTTTGACAGTGGATTGTCAAATTGTTGCAATACAAACTGAGAAAACAGAAGAGTCACTTTAGATAAACATCTCATAAAAACACAATAATATCAAAAGAATCTTGCAGTAACTATGGTTTATTAAAACAAAGCATCTCGCATAAGTTCTTTTCAAGTTCTCATTTATTTAACAATAAACCCCTATAAGTTATAAACACCTTTTTGCAAGTAGAGAAACATGACTTGATAAAAATTGAAAGTTCCAATAAGTTATAAATTAATCAAACCAAGCCACGGCTGTCAACTTTGCATTGCCAGCTCCGAACAACATAAGTACAAGAAAAAATCGACGAAGTAATCTAAAAAAAACACCAGGCTCGTGATTTAAGGATTATGGAAATTACATGAGTAGGAATTTCATCAACTGTAGAAACACCAAACAGTTTCCGCACAATGTCTGGATTCACAGACTCTCCGGCATATATTAAACAATCATGACCATTCTCAAGAAGATATATTCCATCATCACTAATGTGCTCACTAGAAAGAGGTAGGAAGGAAGGAATAACAGATTCTTCCTCTTCCTGCAATTTGCAAAAATGCTATTAGTGTCTCAAAAGTATTATAAATATGAGATCATGCTTAATGAACAATAATAGTGTTAAACATGTGATCTTGTCACAAAAAAAAAACAATCATTTCATTACATGGCTTACTATGCTGACATGTTTTCCAAATCAAATAGTTACATGTACTAGACACATTTATAAAATTAAACTTATCATCTTCCAAATATGATACATCATCAAATTTTGGTATCTGAATAAGCACTTGATAAAACAATAAAAATAAATATTTTATCATATGGAACATTAAAATTCTATGTGTGTGTATCAAACATTGTTTAATTAATATACACCTTTGAGTCAAGGTCATGGATAGCCACCATCCTAGGATACACAAGCGGTATTGCCAATGGAGCAGATAGAGAGGACACATAATTTATCCAAAATGACCGTTCATCTATCTTTCCATCTGTTCTCAACCCTGTACTCTTAGTTAACGCTGAAAAAGAAATGAAAAGTAAAATTAGCACCCAATTCTAACTGGCCCTTCTGAAACACATAACGCCAAACATCAAACATTCTGGATTTCAAAAAAATGGATTGACCATTAACAAAATAAGCAAATGTATATAAGCTTTCACAGTCATCTTCAAATCCCAGCAAAAAACAGGACATTGCGTCAAAACAGAAGGACTGGAATAAGGAACTAGCATATAAATGCAGAAGGGAAGAAGCAAAAATAAACAAATAAATTAATTAAAGGCAAACTGTTTGAATGCAGGGTAGAAATCTTACTTGGACATTTTATGCCTAACAAACAAATAAACTATAAGAAATAAAACCTTAACTTTCACAGCATTGTTCATCATATGTATTATAAATCACCACATACCAAGTGTGTACAGGGGCAAAAGCTTTAGGGCCTCCGGAAGAATTAGTTGTCCAGATGAGGACACCGTAGCGCAAAATTTACGATATGAATATAGTGCATTGGTGCAAAGGCTTGTCACTTGTTCCCGAACAAGAGGAAGTGGCTTTGAAGGGATCTCACTAGCAGCTATACACACAAAAAAAGGATGTTAAAATTCTTTTATCCAAAATTATACCTACAAACATATGCTCTAAAATATGAACAGGATGACAACACCACAGAAACAACAAGTATGATATATAATGAGAACGAAATTTAATAGAGTTGCTGACAGTCAACATACAGTCAAAAGCAACAATAGTCAAAAACAGAATAATCACAACGGCGATACACATTGATGATAAATGAGATACCTTGCTTTAAGAAACAGCAAAATTGAGTATCCAAGTCAGCTGCGCGGAACAGATTACTAAGCATACTTGTGACAGGCAGAGATAAGGTTATCACACGTATTCTTCTTTGGCCATACACAGTTGTGTATAGAAGAGCACACTAAACAATGAAAAGGAACATACCATTAATAAAATGCTACTTCAATTGACTAAAGATTTTTCAAGACTAACATCAGGTAATCCGAAGATCATAAACTACTTGGGATAAAGTAGATAGCCAACTCCCCTAATACCTGAAAAGCACATTCTGATCCATCCTGCAACTTATCATCATGTTTCAAAGTCACCATGAAAGTTTTGTCACAGTCAATCTGCAAAAAAAAACACACAAATTGAGTACATGGGGTATGTTTTAAGAAAGTCAAGTAGTTTATCACTTCGGTAGAAAAAAAATTGATCTTATTTAGTTGTCCATTTCAAAGATCAATGCAACATTAATTATTATTTACAAGAATACCCATATGTGTATTGCAGATGGAGAAATAGGTGGAATGAAATAAGAAATAGTTAGGAGTATTTCTTCACCCAGATAAACATATGTTTAAGGTCTCATATATACATACGAATATAACTATATCCAGTATCTAGAAAATAATACTGACCCCAGGTAAGTCAACATCTGTTGGGATCCGTTTACAAAAGTTGCCATAATAATCCTGTACTTGGATGCCCTGAGAAAAAATAAAATGAAAATTGTAGAGACGGTTTGTTGGATGATAAGGCATGAAAGAAAGTGAATCCTGCAAGCTACCTGACTGCACCTCACGCGCATTACAGCCTCAAAACCTTGTGGCCTAGTGACATTCCATCTAAGATCGTTGTAAAGCTTTGCAGGATCTGAAAGAGCTGAGAATGGGTAATAATAGTAAACCTGAAAAACATGAGAAGTTTAACATTTAAAATTCTGATGTATGCATCACATACATTTATTTGCATGGCATATACCTAGTTCTTTATGTAAAATGCTTTACACAAGAAAAATAGTACACCACTAAATAAAATATTCACCCTTTTAACATAAAATACAATGAAAGCCATATGGAAGCAAAAATAAAACAGTGATCGGATATTCACTTAAACAACAGATACATTAAGCATTAATGTATACCTGTCCACCAGTCGTTCGTGGGATGGCCGATATGGAAGCAATATCAACATAAGTCTGAGTAGTCACAAACACATCAACACAAACCTACAACATTGCAAAATTATTGTATTTTAACCATCCACAACAGGCTGCTCATCAAGCTCACAAGATAAATCAACTAAATACTTCAATTGGACAGAAAAGTAATGCCTAAACTAAATCAGACCAAAAGAACTCAAGATAGACCTGATACTCAGCAAGTTCAACTGCTAATTCCTTCAATGTTTTATCTGATGGTTGAAGTAACTTATGTGCTTCCTGAAATTCAACATATACAAAAAAAGATCAGCATCTGCACTTGAATATTTAGGAGGTAGAACAGATAAAACAATGCAAAGTATCAGTTGAATCATGTATAATTTAATGTAATATATTTAATGTAATATGCCGATGAATACTTTAAATTTTCACGGGTGTAAATCAAATGCCTAATATTAAATTTGATCTCTGTTACAATTTTACAGCTAATAAACAATGGAATTTTCAAATATATGGAACTATTCCCATGTCACCATCTTCCAAGCTCAAGTTTATAATAACAAGAAACTGCCATCATAGAATTTTTAAATATAAAAAAAACAACAAATTGAAATATTTTCAACAAGAAAAAAGATTAGAATCCAACAATGCAAACAACCAACTTGTGATGAATACCTTTTCCCCTGCAGAGATGTTGGTTCTCCCTTCAGCTTCGCGCGCAGAAAGGGCACCAATGCCAATAGATGGCAAGACTGACAAAAAATAAAAAGAGGAACACGAAAGAAACTCATCCATGAGCCAAAAAATAAAACACAGATAAAATGGTAGAAAAAAAATGAGACAAAAAAATCGGCATAGACAAAAGCAAAATGAGGACAAGAAACTGAAAATGTATTAAAGATATGAACGAATCAAACATTAAAAAAATGATGCAACCACCAAGTCCAAACAAAAATAATGGCAACAGAACTGCATAATAATGTTCAAAAAGTAATTAAATGAACAATTCTAGGCAGGACATATTACTTTTGAAAGATGTGAATAGGCTTTTAAGACAACAAACTTTTGGATAAAGCCAATGCATATCACTTTTTTTGTGTGGTATCAACAATGCATACTACTCATTTTTTATCCTTAAATTTTTTTTTCTTTATTTCATTTTAAATCATGGTATTGCACTATAGTAGAAAATTGTGACTTCCTAAATATGCTAGTAACTTCCATTATATTTAGATACTCACTTTTTATGTTCCCTCCATTCATGATGCTAGTAGATACAATTATATGATATAAATACCAATTAAGTTAAGAAGTATAGTAGTTGAGAACCACACCTGACTGGAAAACCATAAGCTTTCCTCCAGTGTCTTTCATTGCAAGGAAAGCTGCCTAAAATAAGAAACCAAAGGTATAAGCATTAATATTTTTCGTATGCAGAATTGCAGATATTGGTTTGGATAGAGGAATGCATGTCAAGTTGTCAACCTCAGTGAGAAGACAGTAAATAATAACAAATGCCGACAATAACCTAATAGGAATCCCTCCGTTACAACGGGATAGGTTGAGAGAATTACAAATGCTATTAGGGGAATACTGAACCAAAGCAATGAGTGTAGTGTGAGTAAGGGCCAGATGAGGGATTGGCCTGTAACCTTTTAGCACTTGGCTCTCAATAAGGAGGATCTAAACATGAGAAATAAGGACGTGACCAAGAAATCAAGTGGGCCAGTCCATGAAAGGGGACTAAGCAAGTGTTCAATCATGAAATCCTTTCATGAAAGGGAGTCTTTGGAAATGTCTCTTCCTTTTGTATTCATTTACCAAAACAGAATCATTTATTTTCAAATAATTAAGTGTTATACATCATAAAGACACTCTACATACAAAAAAGAAAAATTTGGTGAGGAGTGTAAATAAACCTCGGAAAAGCAGAAAAGCGGCTAAAAAGATATAGAATTTACAGAGTGAAGTTATAGCAAAAAGTCACATGAACATTGAAGAAAATAGGTTTATTTCATCTCTATAACCATCTCAGCAAACAACATTTAAAAAAACAATACAAATTAAGACAAATATTATAACATTAAAGCAAAATGCAATACCTTGATTGCTGCACCAAAGGCCGATTCAGAAGTTCTATTACTTTGGAACATAGTAGGAATGCTTTCGAGAAGTAATTCTAAATGTTGACGGCACTAACCAGAAAAGAAGAAAACCAATTAACCCTATGGTTAAACCAAACATAAGAAGATAAAACATAATAATCAACTTATCAAGTAACCTTCTGCAAGTAGGAAAATATTTGAAACTAACCTCAGATAGTGGAACAATTACATCAGTTTGCAAAGGAGTATAAACATCTTGGACATCAGGAACAATGAGCATCAGCGGCTACAAAATTTAAATTTCAAAGTTAGCCTAACACTCATTTCCGTAAAACCATAAATCCGAAGAGCTAGATATCTAAACTAAGTTACTTAGGTAATTGGCACTGTATCTAACAAGTTGCAAAGGAATACTTACTATGTTCTAAATTTCACAATACAGTTCTAAGTTTAAAAAAATCAATGCAAGCAAATAATAATAATAATAATCTAGGTTGTTAATCTAGGACAGCGGCGCATATCCTATCAAAATAAGTTCTCATAGAAATCAAATTATAGAAGTATTCAAAATGAATAAACCAAGTTCTAAATGTAAACAAAATGAAATTTCTAAATCACATCCGCATTTTCGTCATCTTCACTTCTAAGTTCCACCACATTAATATTATCTTGTTCATCACTTGATTCAAACTCTTGTTTTTGCACCTCCAACTCCTCATCTCCATCAGACACTGTTGTAGCAAGTCTAGATTGATGTCTAGTAACTCTTGTTGATTCATTAGCCCCAATTGCATAACCAACAACTTCCCAAAACCAAATCATCTTCCAATATTCCATTTTCACTCTCATCTTATTGCAATCATTCATAACATTCATCAATATTGACGAGGAGAATATGATCAGTTAAATCATTGCTACTAAAGCGGTCTATAAGAGAAAGAAGAGAGGAGAAACAGAGCAATAGAGTTCAATATTAAGTTAAAAACTTTAAAGAGAAACAGAGCAAGGAGAAACAGAACAGAAGCGAATGGTGAAGAAGCAGAGGAGAACAGAGGCGAAGGCGAATGATGAAGAAACATATGAAAGCGGAGGCGAACAGCAAAGCACGGTTAAAAACGGCAAAGGCATGGAAGAACGATGAAGAAAATGAAGGAAAAAATGGTGGGACTGAAGAAGCATTACACATGGGGTTAAATATTAGGTAAATAAAAGGATGGGAAAGATAAATATACCCAAAAAAATAATATTAAGGTTTCCAAATTTGTCCCAAATTGAGCATAGATGCCATCAAACCACAATGGCACTGCTATAGCGCCGCTATGACCGCTATCGTCAATAGGGTGGCAGTGAGGAGTCGTGCCACCACGCTAGGCCGCTATAGCGCCCTGTTGACAACCTAGATGATACTCATAATATTTATAATAATAATAATAATAATAATAATAATAATAATAATAATAGAAAACCACTGTTTCCACCACTAATCGAAAAGACACAAAAAAACATAATGAAACAACTGCAATATAACCGCTCAGTTTCCTAGACACCAAGCAGAAGCATTGAAATTAATGCCTAAAGCAACATTCGGCCCTAGTAACTAATAGCTTTCCAGCATCAAATTAATGCCTAAAGCAATATTTGGCCCTTGTAACGAATGAAAACATGAGTTTGAAAGTAAACCCTTCAAAACTAAAAGCAGTAAATTCAGTATGTTTAGTTGGGTACTTATGTGTTGCTACCTGCTGCAACGCACGTTTCAAGTTGTAAAAATGAATTGTTGAGTCAAACGTCGCAACTCCCACCTGTGTACGAGGACCTTCCTGTAGCGACAAGACAGAAAATTCTAGTTATGAAGTGAATGTCAAACAAAATAAGATAGTTGCCAGAATCTCTGGTCGCACCACCTAAATTTTAAATCAATATAAAAAGTCCTAGAAATTGAGTCAGATATGTAAAAAAGAGAGATTTGTCAAAAGGAGGGAAAAACAACAACGATAAACCCAAAAACAAGCTAAAAATATTTCTGTAAAATAAAAAATATCATTAACATTTCAATATTCTGGACCTCCAAAGTCTCCCATAGTTGCTTTTGGGGATTTTGGCTGCTCTTGGTGGCATCTGTAATTATCCATTGAACAATTGCAGAAAAATATGCATATGCTACATCTCAAAATCCCTAATATGGTCTCACTCATTAACTGAAACAATTAAACAAAAAATTGATACACACGGGCACACATGCACACATGTGTCTCCATTTTTTAGTCACCCCACTATCTCATTCTGTTTGGCCCTAATAAGAATTTTAACGTTAACATCTATAGTCTATATCATTACCGAGAATGTTAAGCACAAGATGAATGGGATCATAACTATATAATGAAGATAAAAAGGGATAAAATAAAATTAAGTTCACTCGTTCCTGATCGTCAAGAATCACATCATTCTCATGTCATACCAAACATAGGAATCCTCATCCCATGGAATGGAGGCAAGAAGGTATTTGTAATTCATGTGTGTCAAATGTGCTCTTTGGAGTTTATCTAACTAGAATTGTAAAAAAGACTTGTAAATGGTCATACAAGCATAGCATTGATAGTGTGTTGTGAGATCTTCATCAAAGATGTGCTTATAAAATTAACATAATATGGTCAAACCCCATTCAATTTAAACAGTTCGTTAAGTTTATTTCATTTTTGTTTTCGAAGCAGGAGTGGAGAGGAGGACGTATCTGAAAGGTTTGTCTCATTATACTAAAGCACCAATATAAATGGATTATAACAAAAAAATATGGTCAAACCAATCAAACAAATGAAAAGTTTTAAAAATGTTATGCTTCACATATATTATCATGTATAAATGGTTAAAAGTTGTTTACAGTTAGAACTCACAGGAAGGTCTGCAATAACTTGATTTATGGCACTGCAAGCTGCAGCTGTTGCACCAGTTTGAACAGCATTCATTGATACATCAACGAGAAAGAAATACACAGCGGGCATTGGCTCACGGACCTACACAAAATAGTAAATCGGACACCACTCGTCACAGGACAGTTAAGGATGACACTGAAGAAACAAAATACTCCAAACAAAGCATAAACTGCTTGCCTTGTATATCATCTTAGAGCCATAACATAAATTTATGCCATCATATAACAAACGGACCAAATAAACTTGACTCAATATGAGCAAACAGCCATGTATAACAACAGCCAGCAATAGCATCAAAATCAATAAGCTTATTGACAAATTTCCTCAACATTTGATTTGGTGTTGAAATTGAGACAGATAAAGTTTCTACGAACTATATTAGGAAAACAAATTTGCTTGGGAATTATTAGGCTTGGTAAGCTGCTACTTATTAAATTCATAATTTTAGTCTACAAGCATCTTTTATGAATTGAGATACAGGGTTGGGCTTTATCTACTTAAATGATATTGTGCCTAATTTTCGTGTTTAGTTCACGCTTATTGTATAAATTCTAGGAGAATACCGAACTGTTATCAAGCAATGGAAAAATACATTAAAGAACTAAAATACTATTGGTGAAGAGTAAAGACTGGTGGATTATCCTATCCATGAAGGACCATTCTCCATTAACCTATTAATTTTTTTGCTACAATGCAGTATCACACCAATCCTTCTTCATGTAACAAGATTGTTAAGAGTCCCACATCGGACAATATATGGCATGAACATGTGTTTATAAGTGAGGGCAATCCTCACTTTACCAACCGGTTTTGTAGGCTTGAGTTAGGCCCAACTACATTTATTAACATGGTATCAGAACCTCGTTTAAGATCCGGTGGACCACCTTCTATGGTTTCCGCTATCGGGCCACCCACCATTTATTTTCACGCTTCAGTTGTCCAGTCCTGAGCATGAGGGAGTGTGTTAAGAGTCCCACATCGGACAATATATGGCATGAACATGTGTTTATAAGTGAGGGTAATCCTCACTCTACTAACCGGTTTTGTAGGGTTGAGTTAGGCCCAACCACATTTATTAACAAAGATCATCCAATGGTCCTAAATCCTAATATCAACATTCATAATTGCTATACTTAATTTAACACAACATTTAAATTTCACTTATTTACACTTATGCATCCAGTTTAAAAGAAGTTCAGTTTCTTTTTCTTCAACTTGGATTTTTCACAAAAGGATTGACATTCATCAGTCAGTCATGAAGATCACTGGTTCATAAGGTCAAGGGATCATGGTTTGAATCTTTGTGGACTAGTTATCATCTCAAATTAAGCAAACTTCGCATTCAAATTAAGTAAATTTGGCATTCAAATTATTTAAACTTGTATGCTCCTGATGATGAACAACTCAATAACAGAAATATACAACAAATCCATCTTCACGTAGCCCTGAATAGTTAACAAATAAACTAACCATGAATTCTTTAGTAGCAACAAACTCAACCGTTCCTTTACATAGCTCAGGCTTTTCATCAGCATCTCTACGCCGACCATCTGGACCTAAATTACAGTGGTAGTCCCGTGGAGTTTCATCACTAAATCCTGCAAAACAGATGTACATTCAAAGCTAAATGGTTGGCTGTGTCACAAAAGGTTTTTTTTTAATAACCCCATCATTTTCTATTTCTCTCCTTTTTCGTATACCCAACAATACATCTAACCCACTAATTCTCATCTCTATCTTTTCTCACACTCTTTCTTTCTTCTTAACTTTTTCGAAAAGAGCCCAACATAGCCTCAGAGAGCGGACTGGGGGATTCTATGGTATTTTTCTTGCTCTTTGACTGTCAAGCTGAAACTGATTAGGGCTATCTCTGCATTGAAATCTGAATGTCCGTCCTATCAGACCTATCAAACTGATGATGTTTTCTATTTTTCTTTGATGCTTTATTTTCCTTTTTTCAACCTAAAGAGGACACATTATCCTCCAATTTCTTGTACTTCACTGTCTTGATGAATTTCTTCTATCAAAACAGAAAGAAGAAAAAAGTGCATAGGCATCAATAATCGCACATAAAAAGTGAGCAATAAATAAGGTGTACACTATATGCATAAACTTCTAATGTGATTGATGATGCTCAACCAACCACTGACTGACTTTGCCAGTAAATGACAATAAAATTTTATATTTCTTTTCTCTCTATTCTAGGGAAATGTAATGTAAAAAATTATCTCCAAGCAGGATACCATAATATATACCCACAACTAATATTAGGATGAGCAATTGTTATAATACTAACCACATAAATTGCAGATAAAGCGTCTTCCCTGATCGATAAATTTCATAAAGGGATTTACATAAGCCTTGCAACGTGAGCAACGGACTGGACCACTCTCTCCAAAATCAACAACCTATATCAGCATTAGACATTTAGAAGTATTACACCAAAATTTTATTAAAAGGAAACACTTTAGAAATAACAGACACGAAGTTTACAAACTTTATCCTATAATGTATATCATCCACTATACAAACTATGATTTGAATACAGTAATTATCGGCTCAACACTGACCACCGATCTTCTTATAGTTCAAGCATAAACAGTTAAAAATACTTGAAAGAAGAGAAATACTTCAAACATTCTCTAAGGAAATACAAGCAAATATAAGAAAAATACAGCAAGTTACAATATGAACAAAGAACTCCAAAGGCTGACATTTCATGAATCCTTAAAACATCAAACATTTGCCGAAGATAAAGAAAAATTCCAATTTTTCATTTACATAGATAAGACTAATAGCATGTGAAATGTATGCAAGTCACCCTACTAAACGAATGCTCCATAATTATAAAAAGTAAAAAAAAAAAATAGAAAACTGTAGAACTTCAAAAAATAATATCCGCAGCTATAGAAACTTCTACAACTAACACTTCTATTAAATTTTTAAAAGGAAAAAGACAGCATAAACTTCAAAGGAATAATCATTGGTACTTGAATGGGATCCTCGGATGGGTGTGGAAGCGCCAAAGGTTGGACTAACATAGCCAACTGCATTCCTGATGTTGTCAAAAGATCAGCAGTGAAAGGAATCTGTTTCATTCAACGAAAAGAAAAAGCAAATGAAAGAAAATCAATATGAAATAGCAGAAATTTAAACATTTTAACAACTGAAATAACCAATCTCAGAAAATTACTGTAACACTAAAATTCACTTTGAACAGAAGAATTTAATCTTTAGAAAGAAAAATAATACAGGGCAAGAAAACGAGGCATCTTCTTAGGCAAAAATAATAAAAATAAAAAACCTCTTCAGAAGCCAAAGCATAAAAAATACTTCAAAAGAATAAAGCCTTCCATCCCTCTATATATGAGATTGTCAAACACAATAAAGCAACCTTCAAGTAGCCGCAACATAAAAGCCACAAATAGAACTCTATACAAACAAACAAGTGCCACATCAAACAGGCAAGAAAGAAATCGTAGCATTTTTCATTAACTTATTCATGCATAAAAATATATCACAGATATTAAACATGACCTGATTGATTGTGCACTTCATGTAACGTGGACTGCAGTTGCCCGTATCTCTTACAATAAAATCACTTGTAGCAGGCTGAACAAAAAAATCATAAGAACAAACAGCAGCAGTGGTATATACATATGACTTAACAACATAAACTTTTTTCAGATGAATACCGGAGGGATGGTTGCCTGGTTGCCTTGACGAGTGTCGTGCATGATCACTGCGGACCCTGGCGTGGGCCTTGGAATTTGATTGGGATCGATTTTTGAAGGCCCTGCCATGGGGGCTCCAGTTTGACCAACAGCGGGTGATATAGTTGTAGTCATAGACTGATTTGGCAGTGGTGGTGGCATGCCAAACATCCTGGGAGGCTGCATAGTACCAGGAACTGGAGGAGGTGGAACTACCTACAGAATTCCAAAAGTTTATTGACTGACTTCCAAAAGATGAATAGATGCATATGGCGACAACACAATTTAAGTGCTAGATATGATAAATATTAGATAACAACCAAACATCACACGCCCACAGCTATGCATATGGGATTTTTACCACTGCTAAATCCTCATTTGTTTGTGTAAATATACACATGAATTCAGCGCACTAATTCTCAAGCACTATGTGATATTTAGTTAATTACATAAAAATATGCTTAGTGCCTTGCCCACAGAGAACATAGGAGTCTTGATAAGATTTACATCCAGACACCAGCCTGAAGCATCAATTGAAAAGTTACATATCCCACAGCAACAAGGGCAATATACCATATTATGTCGGTAGCCTCGTCCAATCAATTTAACTGACAACAGCATTGCTTTAGTACCCTACAAAGCTACAACCTTGCTGAGAAATGACATGCATACACATGGCAAAGTTGTTCATAAATGCCTAAAATAATCTTATTTTTGTGTAACAATCAAAAATACAGTTGAACCTTTCATTCATGTAACCAAGCATACCTCTAGACTCTAGTTGAGCTAAGATAATACATCATCCATTTTTTCCTTTTAAACATAGTGAAAAAACACCTCATACATAATGGTAAAAGAGTAGGTTGTATTACTTTTTTCAACTCATTCAACAAAATGTTGTTAAGAAAATATAGATAAAAAGACATCCAAATGCAATAAATTCAAATAAATAGGTACCTGTTGGGCTTGTGTCTGCCAAGATGGTGCAGCGAAAGGTGAACTTGGAGGCTGCATTATTCCCTGAGGTGCCATGGGATAAGGAGACTGAGGATGGCCAGGCGGACCTGGAGGAACTCTCATTGTTGGAGGTCCAACCGGTGGCTGTTGAACATTGCCACCTGGAAAGTGTTGAGGAGCTGGCATAGCCCCACCCGAAAATACCGGTGGCCCATTACTCATTAAGTTAATGGGTGCACTAGTAGGAGGCATGCCAGGAGGAGCACTCATTGGTGGTGAGTTAAAAGGACTTGGACTAGGACGAGCCCCAAAATTTTGCGGAGGAGGCCCAGGTGGACGAACAGGTGGAGAACTGCCAGGTGGAGGAACCCCAGAAACAGGTGCTGCAACACTGCCTATTGGAGACGAAAAAGGAGGTGGTCTTGACCCAAACGGCGAAGGTTGACCAGGAGGTGGTCCAGTAGGCCTTCCAAGGGAACCAACCGGAGGCCCAGAAGGAGGCCCTGCAGGCCTTACCAGTGGACCGGGAGGTGGACCAGGTCGCGAAAACGGAGGCGACGAACCTGGAAACCCCTGCGGCGAAGGACCGGAAGAAGGAAAAGGCGGTTGCTGGCCAAATGGTGGAGGCCTAGAAACAGGATTCGACGTCATAGGAGGCCGATTAAGATTCAAATTCTGCATATTATCAGCTAATCCATCAGAAGAGCCTCTAAAATTAGGGACATAATTAGGCGGAGGTGTGTTGCTTCCGGGTCTAGGTGCCCCTGGAGGCACAGGAGCAGCCATAATTACTCAATCAAATTAAATCCAAACTCCCCTAACCTCTGATTAACCTCGTTCCTCTTCAACAGTTTATCAAACTAATGCTTAACAAAAAAACACGATCCAAATCTACAAAAAAAAAAAAACATAAACTGAACGATCAACGAAACAATTCTCGAAAATTGAATACGATCGATGAAAACAACAGAATTGCATGCAGTGAATGAAAAACAGGATCGAAGCGAATTGCGATAAGAAAAGGGGAAATAGAGAAAACCTGAAACGAGATCGTCGGAGAATCTGCGAAATTGAGAGGAGAAAAATGTTAGATCGGAAATGTGAGATTGAGGGGTTTTAGAGAGTAGTGGTAATTGGTTATTTATTATATCAGCGCCCAATTTTCCTGTTTCGCTCTTCAGTAACGCCGTTTGCTTCGGGTTCTTTTTTCCTTTTATTACACTCAATTTTTTTTATCGCTTAATCTCGGAATCCAAATTTAAACGGAGATATCTACTCCTCCTGTTTCAATTAGGCTATATCGTAGGTTTGGTATATCTTTTATTTATTCTAATATTAAAATAAAAACTATTATTTTATCATCTCAATATTTCAAAAATATATATCTGATTAAGTATAAACTCCATGTTTGCATTTCATCTTGCATTGACTTATTTAAGTCTCTCATCTCTTTTCATCTGTGATTAAATTGTCATGTGTTTCTTGCCATGATCCCTTAGGATTCCTAGTCCATCTATTTAAGATGGAAGTAGGAGAGACATTAGACTTTCAATCCTTTGCATGATAATATTAGGTAGTTCCCTTTTTAATCTCAACTTTAAGATCACATTGCATGCTAACATTAGGGTTTATCAGTTTCCCCTTAGAGTCTTGTGTCTTCTCTTCTCATCTCGTAACTTCTTAAGACACTTAATAAAGGTTAACAATTGTTGTACGCTACGAGCCTTAAGTAAATGAGAAATGATTGGTGGGGGGCCTCCTCTCACATTTTCTAGAGTGTTTAGCGTATGCCCTTTGGGCGATATGCGACGCATTCGCTCTCAAGTCATAAACTTTAGTGCAACATGAGTTATAAACTAACCCAATTCACTTCTTCTCTAAAAAAACAAAACAAAATCAAACATTTTCATCCTTCGGGATTGTGTTTCAAACTTAATTTTCAGAAAGAGTGTGTTAAGTTTTTGTTCTACCGCAAACAGACATCGTCCCTAACTACTAGAACGGATATTTAACCCTACTCATTAAAACACTTGAACCAACCAGTGGTCTAGTTTCTCGAATTACGTTTGCTCTGATTTCTCATACCAGATGAGGATACATAGGCACAAGACGGTGATGTCTTGGCGAGCAACCTTCCCCCCTTCACCTGTAGTTTTTCTAACTACGTTGACTTTGACTTTCCCATTGCACGAGGGAATACGTAGGCATAGGGCGGCGATGTCCTATCGAGTCTTTTTTCTTTTCTTTTACCCTCGTTTAGTAGCCTTTAAATAGTTTTCACCCATAACATAGACAACAAGCATGGATTCTGTTGAGTACAACGGACGTGAGGGGTGCTTATACATTCCCCTTGCGTAACCGACTCCCGAACCCAAGATTTGGTTGCGATGACCTTGTCTTTTCCCTTTCTCTTAGGTTTTCTTCGATCGTTTCCTTTCCCTCTCTTTGGGATAAATAACGTTCGTTGGCGCTTCTTCTGTCTAGTTTGCTGGCCCTTTTTCGTAGTTGCGACACCCCTGAAGAGGAAAAACCAAATCACCAGAAAAAGAAGAACACATAGACTCACATGCAAGTTCATACAATGTAACCGCACTTCAAAAACACAAGAACAAGCACACTCCTCCCTAAACACCACAACCAACTGTAGAGAGTAATGCATTCTCCCAGACACATTCAAATGAAATGATGTCAAAACAAATAGAATGACATCCCAGCACCATTAACATAGAGGATCTAACCTTTCAGTACAGACACACAATAATTTATCATGATCCCCTTAATGTTGCATACATCCAGGCAGTAACAATGAAAAACTACTCTTCCTAAATAGTAGTATAAACATGACATAAAGTCATGACATCTGAACTAACATCAGAAACATCAAAAAAATCAACACTTTACTCCCTCTTTTTAGCCAAAAATTGACAAAAATAAAATAGAGTAAATGTACATAAAAATAAATGGAAACACACAAATATGGAAGCACAAAAACATAATTCATAAACCATAAGTACTGATGAAACACAAATGTAACATATCCCTTTTAGATGATCTTCTAACTCCTGCTTCTATAAAAGATCCTTCTGTAGTCCCTGAAGCTACCATATGATTTACGAGTGTTGGTACTAAACTTCCTCACCATAGCTTTTAAGTACATCTTCTTCAAACTGGTCCTTCTATATTGCAGAGGTCTCTTACTCCATTCATTAATAGTCTTCACTTGCTCAAGAATACCAAGCATCAAAGAATAGAGGAAAGATGCAATATGTGTTGTATTCCTCTATTTCTGTAATTGCTACAACACCTCATCAGTGCCAGTTCTTACTTCACAGCTTATATCCTCAAGGTTATTTCCATATGTAGCATCAGTACACATATAAGTAAGATGATCCTTTGCGTCTAGACTCTTCAAAATATAAAATTTTCATTTATCAAGACTCCTGGTCTGTTGATTGTACTTGCCATTGTTCTTGTTCTAGATGAAGTAGTCGATAACATTCAGATCCTTACAGTATAATGTCAGAACATCATCCTTGCCATCATGTTTCTTCAGTATCTATTTTATGCACACTGATTGAAGGCAACCCCTTCTAATTTCATCACACTCAGCTTCAATAGTACACCAAGACACATATGTCTACTTCTTATTAATCAAGGCAGACAGACTATTTGTCATATCACTCACACATTCTACCTTGCATAATTCTTTCATAAAAGTCTTTGTGTTGTAGAAGTACTCCATATTACAATCCCGTGCTCTAATGAACCAATTTAAGATCTTCTTTTCTTAGACAATAAGACTTGTTTTAGATTCAGGCTTGGAGACAAGATATGAGTTTGATACTTTCTTTGTATACCTAATAATGTTTCTTTCTATAGAGTGTCTTGTAACAAGATTCTTGGATTAACCTGAATGACCCTTTCTAAAGAGATTTGAAATATCTTGAGAGCTACCTGACATAAGGCTAGAGAAATTACAACTTTCCTCTTTTGTCTGAATAGTTTGTACAATGGACGTTCCAACATTATACTTAACATCCATCCTCTGTTCTGAATCATCAAATACCACATTGACAGATTCCATTGTCATCTCAATTCTGGAGTTAAAGATTCTAAAAGCTCTGCTGCTTGAAGAATAACCCAGAAATATCCCTTCAACTCTTCTGGGATCCATCTTACCCTTTTGATCTTTATTGGTCAGGACATGAAATTTGCTTCTAAAAACATGGAAGTATTTCACTGTAGGTTTTCTTCCTTTCCATAACTCATAGAGAGTGATTGAAGTTCCCTCTCTCAGAGTTGCCCTATTATGAATATAGCAAGTTGTATTCATAACTTCAGCCCCAAAATGATATGGCAAACCCTTAGCATGAAGCATGACTTTAGCCGATTCTTGTATATCCAAGGTCTTTTGCTCAAAAATTCTATCTAGCTGAGAAGAAAAATTATAACTGATGTCTTGAGACTCACATAATTTAGTGAATTTTGATTTCTCAAACTCTTTGTTATGATAGCTTCTGACCTTGACAATCCTACTCTTTTGCTCCTTATGAACACTTTGACATAAAACTTTAAGAACTTCAAAGATGTCTGGTTTTTCTTTAAGAAAGTTTACCCATGTAAACCTAGAGAAATCATCCATAACCATATACACGTATTTCTTTCCACCCATACTTTCAGCCTCCATAGGTCCCATAACCCCCATATGGAGAAGTTCTAGTATTCTTGAAGTAGTCGGATGATGCAACATTGGTTGTGACATTAGGATCTGCTTCCTAACTTCACACTCACCACAGACTTTTCCTTCTTCAACCTTTATATTTGGCATTCCTTTAATTGCTCCTACAGATATGATTTCCTTCATTCTTTTGAGATGAAGATGTCCAAGTTTCTAGTGCCACAAATTTACTATCCTCTTTAGTTTTTGAACATATGGAAGAGTAAGCAGTTATTTGAGGTTCCCAAAGATAACAGTTATCTTCAGATCCTATACCCTTCATCAGAACGTCATTTTTCTCATCTTTGACTAAACATTATGACTTAGAAAAAATGACTAACAAACCTTGATCACACAGCTGACTAATGCTGATGAGGTTAATAGTTAGTCCCTTCATAAGAAGAACATCTTCCAACCTAGGTGAACCAGCATCAATCAATTTACCAACTCCTTTAATTTCTCCTTTAACACCTCCACCAAATCTGACAACACCTATGGGCATGAACCTAATATCCATCAACAACTTTTGAACCCCTGTCATATGTCTCGAACATCCACTGTCAAAGTACTAGTCTTCTCTGATTAAGGCTATCAAGAATGTGTGATATATAATGTTAACACTCCTATCTTCAACATTTCTCTTTTTTCTAACTGGCTTATCCTTGGACCTAACTGAGGATATTTGATTTCCATACAATTTATAACATAATGGGTTTATGTGACCATACTCTCCACAACAATGACATAGCCAACAAGATTGGAAATTATTTGAAGGTTTATTATGTCTGCCAGAATGTTGTAACATGTGGTTAGACATTGTGGTCATCTTCTTTCTTTCAGAAGGAAAGAACTTTTCTTCAGACATTCTTCTCTGTCTGTTATCAGAATGATAATAGACTTTTGTAACTTCTATTTGATCAACCCTATTTTGATCCTTCTTAAGGAATCCGTAAAGTTATTGAGCTTGGAATTTAGGAGAGTTATCTCACTGTGAAGATGAGAGACAACACATAAGGGTTTCTTCTTCTCATTCTCCAATTCAGCTTTGGCCTTTCTCTGATTTTCCTTT